GACGGGAGAGGAGTTGTCGTTATATTTGAAAATGGCGGAAACCGGAGACGCGGCTGTAATGTTGGAGATAAACACAGACACACATGCTTATCTCTGATTCATTCATGTTTATTTATCGATGTTAATATCACAAGCAAATAAATGGCTTTTTCCTTGACAAAAAATCAACATCTGTCATTGTTCATAGGGGTTGTGTGTGTGTGTGTGTGTGTGCGTTTTATGAAGTAAAATTTATTAGGTAAATAAATTTTATTTGAGAAATTCCGCAAAAGGCGTGATCTGCAAGCAGCTGACCGACGCCGCCTCTTGATTGTCAGCTCGGACGACGTAAAAACGCAGATGAAAATAGAAAGCAGAACTATAAACAGCGTGACGTTGGTGCAGTCACTGGAATGGGCTCTTTAAATTTTCGCACTGTTGTGTTTTATTAGACCAAAGGTTCATTTTGCGCCGGAGTTCTCCTTTAACAAAAACACCTATTGTGTGGAAATATTGACGGTTCTTTTTTAATTTTCCAGGTTTAAATTCACAAAAACGTTGACATTGTTTTCTATATAATAAAATTCCAACTGTTTTGTTCCAACACACACAAAAAAACAGCTCGAAAATGGGACTTTTGACTTCAAAAAACCTCAAAAAGTCCAATCGCTGTAAGCTAGCCCCAGCATCCTCCATTTGAATGCATTTGTGCATACATAGTAATTGTGCATGTTTGCATGACTTTACACTGCAAAGAAATAGAATCACACACAAACGCACACACTTTTCCCGTATGAGATTGATTGCTTGCAAAGCAGTCTCATGCAGATGGCATCTCTCCTTTTGACATGATAATGGCTCTAAATTGATGAAGACATCTCACTCATTCTCTATACCAGCTCGCTGACAGGCCTTACCCAAACACTTCAACCTGCTACAACTGCCCATCAATCACCCGCAGCCCCTCCCACCTTATGTCCCAACGCTTGTCCATTTTAATCAGCTAATTCTCTCCTTCACCGTCACCCCGTTCACCGATACAACACTGTGTTTTGCCCATCTTCTCTCACACTTAATCTGCTTTAATGAAGTCCTGATCTGCCAATTAGAAACAATCACAGCGGAGCAGAAGATAAATATAGCCTAACCATCACACTGGCCAAACTGGAGGGGGTAAAAACACTATAAGAGATGCAGATACAGTAAGCAAGGACAGTTCAAGGACTTCTGGGGTTTAGGGGGAAGCTGATTTCTAGATTTGGTGTCAAGGTTGCAAGATTTGTACTAGGAGGTGATGACTTTATTATCAATGAATCAATGAATTCCCTAATGAAATGTTGGAAATCAACTGAGCATGGCATTTGAAACCCAAAGTATCAAATTGTGTCCTGCACTGTTTCAGACATAAATAACAAAAATATATTATTTTGAGGAGAAGTGTGCTTTTCTAAGAGACCAAACATGCAATTATAACATCTGGGTGGTAAAACAAGTGGAAAATACTATAGATTTACTTTGAAGAAACCATATCAAGAGCCGAATATCATAGAGATTTAGGGTAGTTCACTTTTTAAAAACTTTTGCTGATAATTTACTCACCCCCATGTCATCCAAGATGTCCATGTCATTCGTTCTTCAGTTGAAAAGAAATTAGATTTTGATGAAAACATTCCAGGATTTTCTCCATATAATGGACTTCAATGGGAACCAAACAGTTCAAGGTCCAAATGAGAGTTTCAGTGCGGCTTCAACGGGCTTTAAACGACACCAGATGATGAATAAGGGTCTTATCAAGCGAAACAATCGCTCATTTAAAAAATAAATTAAAAAGTTTAAGTTTTATAAGCACAAATGCTCGCCTTGCTCTGTTCTGTGATGAGCGTTCGTGACTCTCCTGTCAAACTCGTTCATCAAAATGAACAAATCTTTTTTCTAGTCTAGATAAGACCCTTGTTTAAAGCCCTTTGAAGCTGCACTGAAACTCTCATTTGGACCTTGAACCATTTGGTTCATTGAAGTCCATAATATGGAGAAAATCCTGGAAAGTTTTCATCAAATACCTTAATTTCTTTTCGACTAAAGAAAGAAAGACGTGGATATCTTGGACGACATGGAGGTGAGTAAATTATCAGCAAACGTTTTTTTAAAAGTGAACTACTCCTTTAAGGAAGTACTCTATTGACCACCTATACCCGTAACCCCCTGGCAACACCTTAGCAACCATCCTGAAAATCCTAGGTTTTATTAAAACAAGCAATTTTATTATTTTATTATTGCCGTGCAATCCAGGATATTCGAGTGTATGTTGCATATTCTATGTAAGTGGGTTTTAAAACATTTCTAGGCCACTTTCTCGCCTACCTCAGCGTTTTGCACTCCTTGACTAAAGAGAGTTGTGATGCATTTAAGAGCATCAATAACATCCAACCTGTTCTGACCCTGAGGCAAATAAAAAGTTATTGATTCCGCCAACCTCACGGCACCCTTAGCAAAAGGGACTTTTTGTTGCCCCTGATGAAACACTTTCATCTAATCACTTGGCAAAATCTAGAGAGGTGGACGGCTAAATAAATAAATAAACAAGCAATGCCTCTGGAGATAGAGTGCACACCTTTGGAGATGAAATTAGCCTGAAGTTGTTGCAAATCAATGAAATCGATGCAATCAGCTTAACTGACATAGGTGGCGCAAATCGTCCAGTTGGGGTTCGCTCGCTCACAATTCCGTCTTAATTGCCCTCCAGGGCCAAGTTTGCGCATGCCATTTGTTCACTTTAATTAAATTACAAAGACAGGTTTCCAAAAGTCGTAAGAGCGCTGGCTTGGCACAAGCCCAGTAATTAAAACGACACCCTTTTTGATTACTGGAATGTGCCCTAATGAACTCATTATGTATCTTAACCCAAACACACCCTACTGAGCTGGCAGAAGACATGCAGCTTACTGTAAAAACTCCAGGCTTTTTGCAGAAGCAAATAATTTAAGTGAGAGCTTTCTGATTTTAATGTCCACCCTGAAGATGGAGTGGTAATTGGAGCGGTGGCATATTTGTTTGCACACATGCCGAGCTGTGGTGGTGCTCTTGTGTCCGACTTGAGTCTGAATGACTGAGTCTGACTGAGTTTCACAGAGAGGGCTTAGATTAAGCCAGGATTAGGCTTTAGTTTAATTAGGACATTTAAGTAGACAAAACATTGGCAGTGACAAACACTGCAAAAATTATATTTTCATTACTTGTAATCACAACATTATTTCTTTTGTCAAATCAATAATTTATGTAGTTCAGATAACATAATATTTTAAGTTTCTGATGAATAAATCAATCACCTTCGTTGTATTAACTCATTTTTTTTCCATTTCAATGAACTTACATTTTTAAGGCAGCAGGTTACTTCATTTTTTTTTAAGTTAAACCAACAATATTTTATTACAGTGTATTTTAAGATATATCAGTGCAAGTTGCTTTCAGTTAAAACATATCAAACATGCATTTTAGTCTGAGACTAGCTTAAGACTTGTCTGTGAAACCGGGGCAAATAAAATGTTTTTTATTATTTTTTTACTTTTTTATATATAAATACAAGTAGCAGGGGCTGATTGGAAAACTGCGTTTACAATAAACTGCATTGGTCATTTAAAACGATAATTTATATTATTTAACAATAGGCTGATACGATGTATAACAATGTATATATTTTTATATAAGTCTGACTGCCCTGAATGTACTTTATGTTGTTGTTTTTTATGACATGTATTGTTCAACCAGTCGTTTGCCTTTGAAGTTCACATCTTCTATCATTTCCCTGTCATAAAAATATGTGAAATTCTTCAAAGGATGTAAAAATAAAAAAACCCTATATACTGAGAATACAACCCATGTACAACCAAATCATAAATTCTTTAACTTCCACTCCTGATTTTTTCAACACATTTAACAACCTTCTTCAAAGAAACACTCTTTACTTTTCTATGCCCTAAAATTAGCTTAAAGTATTATATTACTAAGTTACTGCATGTACACTTTTATATTTTCTAATGCAATATGTTTTACTGTCAGGCTAATTATTGCTTAAATGTTCAAATACATTTTGTCTTCATTAGGAACAGTAGGCCTTTTCTTTCTCTTTTTTGACTGTTTATCATTTTAGTGAAAAGTTTTTTGTTAAAAGTGTGATTTTGTTATTTTCATTTTACATTATCAGATATTTGGTGATAAATGCTACTGTAAAATGTTGTGAGATGTTGTGAGAATTTGGCTCGGTTTATTGAGATGAAATCATCATGTCAATCTCTTTGAGCTGCTCCTGCTCTGCTGGATCTCAAGAGGACACATTTGAAAGGAGAGGACAAAACGAAGAGCCTCTAAACTAAAGGGATTGAATGCTTACAAATGACGTGACGTGCTGACAAAAGGCAAGGTGTGCAATAGGCGCCATCTATTGGCGTGTTTGCAAAGGTAAACGCCACGATTTTTCCTTCAAGTTCAAGCCCGTATCCCCGTATCATACCCTTTTCTTCCTCTCCTCCTCCTTGTTTTTCTGCGTTTCTGTTTGTGCTTGACTGTGTGTTTTTGTGAACTGTATATTTACAATAAAGTGTGCTAATGAATAAATTCAATTAACTCAATTTGTCCATTTCAATGAACGTAAAATTGTAAGGCAGCCAGGTTACTTTTTTTTTTTAAAGTTAAACCAACAATATTTTATCACAGCGTTTCTGTTTGTGCTTGACTTTGTGTTTTGTGAACAGTATATTTACAATAAAGTGCGCTAATGCATTAGCAATTCTATTAAATCCTTTATTTATAATACTTAAAAAACACACACACAAACAAATACTTGAGTTTCGTTAAAGTGGGAGTGAAATTAAAAAAAACTACATTTCCCATTATGCATATGTACTTCTATTACACGCAATATTTATTATAAATAAATAAATAAATAAAACAAACAAGCACTTCCTTGAGTGTCGTTAAAGTGGGAGTGTCATTTGATATAAAAACTACATTTCCCATCATGCATTTCCGCGGATAAAACTAATGCAACCTCGTGTTTTCACTATAAGCGCGCGGTGCACGAGACATTACAGCACAACTCTCAAATTTACTCCGCTTTCCCAACAGCATGGCATCTGAACTAGGTAATCCTGTGTCGTTTTTACTCTCTGCAAACAAATCAAATACTTTTCGGTGTGTTTGTTTTTGTTAGATGATGTAGTACGTAATGTCCATGTTTGTTTACTTGTTTATTTTACATTAACTTCAAAATCAGGTTTAGAAAAGTGTAATTAGTTCCCATTCTGACCACTGATTTGATATCTTGTAATAAAACAACAACAAAACACCGTGGTTATACCATGCTTTTTGGCTACCATGATGATAACACCATATTTCAATGTATATGAATTTTACAGTAACGTTTAGCATCAAAGTATCATAGTATTGTTTTGAGGGTCAATATATCATGATATCACTTATCAGATGTAACGTTTCCATGGTTTTTGGAACAAGATACCATTAGTGTGTCATGCATATACAGTGATGCTGCATGAATTAATAATTTATTTTTTTGCTTGAAGTTTAGTGTCATGGTATGTATCAGAGAACAATTACTATACCTCGTTACTGCCACAGTAATTAATTTCCATACTTCTGTTTTAGTACCATGGTATTGCCATCTTTTTTGCTTTGAGAAATCTGGTTTTGTGCAAAAGTGATGCGTCATCTGTAATTGAAGTATAGTCCGGCTGCATTTATATCAGATTTGTGTATTTTCTACTGTTTGTGATAGTGTATTTGACTAAATGGCGGTCTCTTTCAGCTTTGCTGAGTGTTTCGGATAAGACCGGACTGGTGGAGTTTGCCAAGCGACTGGTATCAGTGGGTCTGTCATTAGTGGCATCAGGAGGCACCGCCAAAACTCTCCGAGATGCTGGACTCACTGTCAGGTCGGACATCTTTTCCCAAACTTACTTCTAGTTGCTGTGAATACTAAATCTTACAGATATAGTAAATAATGATAATAAAGGGCTAGTTCATGTAAACTCTTTTTTTCATACAGGGATGTGTCTGAGCTCACTGGATTTCCCGAGATGCTTGGAGGAAGAGTCAAGACCCTTCATCCCGCTGTCCATGCCGGCATTTTGGCTAGACAAACTCCCTCTGATAAGGCTGACATGGAAAAACTAGGGTTTAGTCTTGTCAGGTAATACTGTTTTTAGTAAGAAGAAGATTCTAATGCTGTCTGTGTTCTAGTAAAAAAATGCTTCTGCTTCATAGATGCTTCAGGTCATGGTATTTCATGAATGATTGTCATGTGCCACCAGTACAAGATATAATCCTGTTAAGCGGTGCTAACATGCTTTCCATTGGTTTTTTCTTAGAAGTAGAGACTCAGCATTACTAATCTAATCACTGATAATTCAAATAGTGCTGCTGTGGTGTGACCACAAGTCTTGATCTCAGTTAGATGGGGTCATATGAGCAACACTGTGTATGGTAGTAATGATACAATCAAGGCAGGTCAGACTTGTAGTCTGGATGTTTTTGTATACTGTAGGCAGTAAATCATTTTTAAATGATTGCATCAAGAGAAAAGCCCTAATGTGTATGTAAACTGTTCCTCAAGAGTGGCTGTGTGCAACCTTTACCCGTTTGTGAAGACCGTTGCATCCCCCGGTGTGACCGTGGAAGACGCTGTTGAGCAGATCGACATCGGTCAGTACCGTGTTAATTGTTCACAGGGTTTCCATTTAGGGGTTAATAATTGACCCTAATAATTTATTTAGGATTTCCATTGACCATCTTTTGTACTTTTAAGAATGCTAAGAAATGTGATCATTTCTTACATTTAAATGTTTGGTACAGTGACAATTATAAGAGAGTTATGGTTCACTACCTGTAAATTATGCATTTATATGATTAAGTATCAGAATGTCCAGCTCAATAATATATATATATATATATATATATATATATATATATATATATTGCACAGAGTAAATAAAGTTTTTTTTATATGACAAGTAGTATATAAATATATATAAAACAATTCTGAATATCTTATTTTGATTTTTTTTTTAGGTTCCTTTTTTTATATTTCTGTTTAGGTAATATTTAGTTATTTTAGTACTTTAACCTTTTTTTCAGTTATTTGCCAAGACCACATTTCTAATTTTCTAGTTTGTTTTTCATCTCTTATTTATACTTTACTCCATATACCCTTTATTTCATTTAATGAACACAATTTTAATAGTTTTAGTTAACCATGCAGATTTTATGGTAGCATTTATTGTATTTTGTAATATATTAAACTTCTGGGAATTGTGCTTGATTTTCATGAAAATGTCATATAAAAGAAAAAGGATAAGGGGGTGTTTGAGGTAAAAAGTTACACGGATATCTTCATCTTGGCAGCCTGAGTCAGATTCACCCTGTTGTCTCTTATTTCCCCCATTAATCTTACAATCATATTTAGGTGGAGTTACTCTTCTTCGAGCAGCGGCTAAGAATCACGCCAGAGTCACTGTCGTCTGTGATCCGTCCGACTACAGTGTCGTTGCCAAGGAAATGGAATCATCTGACAACCATGATACCACAATGGAAACACGCAAAACTCTTGCACTCAAGGTAACGGTGACGATCCTATCTGAGAGGAGATTTGATTACGCTTGTTTACTTTGTCCACATCCAAAACTCAGTGAATCAAAACTCAGTGTATTTTGATAGTCAGTTACTCAATTTCAGTTGTTGAAATGCCTGTGTGTGAATTTGTATTTGTAAAATCTCAGGCCTTCACACACACCGCTCAGTACGACGAGGCCATCTCTGATTACTTCCGAGGTGAATATAGTCGAGGAATTTCCCAGCTGCCTTTGCGATACGGCATGAATCCCCATCAAGCTCCTGCTCAGCTCTACACTGTACGCCCAGCACTTCCACTCTCTGGTATATATGATCACATATGCTACTACCAGACTAATGTTCAACCACGGAAGTTATGATATTAATGTTCCTCTCCATTTCTGACTGTGTCTCAGTGCTGAATGGATCTCCAGGCTTCATTAACCTGTGTGACGCTCTGAACGCCTGGCAGCTCGTGAGAGAGTTGAAGAGGGTTCTTGGTTTGCCAGCTGCCACTTCATTTAAACACGTCAGCCCTGCAGGTATGAACACAAAACACAAACTTGCTTCCCTGTTGCCAGGAAAGCTTTGGCCCTGTTTACAGCTGGTATTAAGATGTTTTTTGGTCTATTGGATCACAAGTACATGAGGCAGACAGATTCCCATTTACATCTGGTGTCTCTTGTCCTTTTTCAACCACTTCTGTCCTGATTTCTTCGAATGGGGTGTCTATGGGTGATTAAATGTATGGGCTTTTTCAGAAAATAAGCTCGGACAAAATAAGCTCATTCAAACGAAAAATGGGGTGGTGATGGCACAGTGGATAAGACAAATACTTTTGGTGTGAGAGACTCGGGTTCAAATCCACTCTAAGACACCAGAGGTGTGCGACCTCTCACATATATAGCAATTGTAAATCGCTTTGACTTAAAGATCTTAAACTAATTTTCACATTTAGGAGCTGCCGTTGGCGTCCCATTGAGTGAAGATGAGGCAAAGGTGTGTATGGTGAACGACATGCTCAAGGATCTCACCCCTCTTTCCACCGCATATGCCAGAGCCAGAGGTGAAACATCTCTCCATGGATCTCCTTTTCCACTTTCAAACCAGAAGCATTAATCTTCTGTGTCGTTTGGCATGTTTAAGTCTAAAAAAAGTCTGAAAAATATCTCGTAGGTTCTGACAGGATGTCCTCCTTTGGAGATTTCATTGCTTTGTCTGACGTCTGTGACGTCCCGACTGCCAAGATCATCTCCAGAGAGGTGAGTGTGTGTGTGTGTGTGAGCGAAACGAAGAATAATTTTGTCATTCATCACTAAGAGTTCACATTCCCTCAAAGCAATAGCCTTTTATTTAGCAAATACTTGATGCATTTTATACATTTTTATACTCCTCTTTGATTTTTTTTTAAGGTGTCCGATGGTATCGTTGCTCCTGGATATGACGAGGAAGCGCTGCGAATTCTATCCAAAAAGAAGAATGGAAACTATTGTGTCCTTCGGGTAAATCACGCTTATTGATTGATTGATTAGTCTGAAGTCTGTTATCCAAGTTTGCTCCATGGTTTCATATTGCATTTTCTTTTTGGTCAAAAAAGAAACTGTTGCAGTTTTTCTGTACCTTGGTACTTTAATAATTGTAATAATACCCTTAGTGAATTTAGGATGGAAGTAATGCTCTCCAAGGCTGCATTTGATTTAAAAACACTGTTCACTGCAAAAGTATGGTGAAATATTATTCAAATTTACATTAAGTTTTTTTTTCATGTTAATATATTTTAAAATGTAATACAAGGATGCTGAAGCTGAACTTTCAGCCTCATTTCTTCAGTGTTACATGATCATTCTAATTTTAATTAAACATATTATAAGTGTTAAGATCAGTTGTGCTGATATGTGGAAACCATGATTCATTGTTTTCAGGATTCAAAAGAATTGCATTTCTAGTGTGTCTTGTTCAATTAGATGGATCCTGACTATGAACCGGATGACGAGGAGGTGAGGGTGCTGTTTGGTTTGAACCTCAAACAAAAGAGGAATGGAGCCGTCATTGATAAAAAGCTTTTCAGCAACGTTGTGTCAAAAGGCAAGGTGAGAAACTCCATTAATGCTGTTATGTTTGTTTAGAAAGTTCTGATTTTGGTTGCACTTTATTTTACTGTACGTGTGTGCTTGTGTACTTGCCTAAAAAACAAAAACTAGGTAATACAAGGAAACTACATGGTTTAAGGTTAGGTTTTGAGTAATAACTACATATTATGTGCATGGGGAACGTAAGGTTTTTAATGTTATGTTTTGGGCGTGTGAAACAATATTCTGTAGTAAATGTTAGGGATGCACCGATATGAAAATTTTGGCCGATGCCGATAACCGATAATGCTTTGTATTTGAAAGCCGATAACCGATATATCGGCCGATAAACTTAAATCCAAAATTTTTATCTCATTTTGAGAGCCTGATTACAAAAACAAAAGTCTCACAATTAAATCCATGTCCCAAGCGCACAATTATAATGATGTTCTCATTATAGTGTTGTATAGCCGATATGACAGATTTGCGTTGCGTATGTTGTCCCGAACCAGATTTTCATTTTTTCAAGAGGTTTCAATCATATTTCAAGGAATACAAAAACATAAACAGTTCTCAACAAGTGTCTCAGCTGAAGGTAATAATACATTATTTATCGGCTTTAATATATCGGCCACATTTTCTCACCAGGCCGATAACGATAACATTAAAAATGAACATAAATCGGCCGATACCGAGATGCTGGCCGATATATCGTGCATCCCTAGTAAATGTTGCTCACGATTTTATCAATTGTGATTTGATTGGACTGTGGGAGGAAAATGAGTTCTGATATTAGCATATTATTTAACACAGAAAATGTGATTTTGCTCTCATTGTAGCTCTCTGAGAGTGCTCTTCGAGATCTCATTGTTGCCAGTATCGCAGTGAAGTACACTCAGTCCAACTCTGTGTGTTATGCAAAGGATGGTCAGGTAATCAAAAACTTTCCTTTTTAAACCATGTAAATGAATGAAAATGAATTGTAAAGCTCATTATTATGGTCTGTATTTGTTAGGTGATTGGCATTGGCGCTGGGCAGCAGTCTCGTATCCACTGCACTCGGCTGGCCGGAGACAAGGCTGATAACTGGTGGCTCAGGCACCATCCCAGAGTGCTCAGTATGAAGTTCCGCAGCGGAGTTAAGCGTGCAGAGATGGCCAATGCCATCGATCAGTACGTCAGTGGAACAATTGGAGAGGTATTGTATCCAAAAAATGGTCGTTTGTACTATGCATATATTAGCCAGCCTAATTAAACAGATGATAACTGGCTGTTTTGAGATTATGCTTACTTGACAAGATCTTTCAGAGAATACAAATTTTCTATTTCAAATTACGAGTTATTGTGCAAAAGAAGTGTTCATTTGTTCTCAATTTTTTTTTTTTTTTTTTTGGTAATTGAATCTGATGAAAACTGTCAAGAAATGTCAGGTTCATTTCACCTCAAAATCCAAAAGATATATCTAATATAAAGATAATGATGCTTGTAATTATAGAATTTGGTAGAAAAATGTGCTTAATTGTGAAAATGTCACTGTTTTATTTAATGTAATATTTGAGTGAAATGACAGTGCATTTTGATGATTATTATTATTATTATACCTGGTCCCTCAACCTATAAAGGGCATCAGAAACAAAAAATGAAAATATGAATTTTTGAAGTTGCGGTCAGTGATGGAAATGATTGTATTGTCCAGTTTCACAGACTAGGCTTTAGCTAGTCCCTGACTAAAATGCTTGTTTGAGCTGTTTTAACTAAAAGCTACTTGCATTGACATTTCTTTAGTGCGATAATTTTATCAGATGAAGATATTTTTTTTTTTTTTTCTAAGGCATGTTTATAAAAGCTACTTTAATGTCAGTTTTGAACTGAAGTCTTAATCCCTAACTGTGAAACCAGGCCTGTGTGTCAGTATTTCTGCAGGTTGCCGAGAGGTGGAGGTTTTCTGATGACATTTTAATTTTTGTTTGTGCGTCAGGGTCCAGATGTGGAGGCTTGGAAGGCTCTGTTTGAGGAGATTCCTGAGCCTCTGTCAGAGGTAGAGAAGAGTAACTGGATCAGTTCTCTGCAGGCTGTGGCCCTCAGCTCTGATGCCTTCTTTCCCTTCCGGGACAATGTTGACCGAGCCAAACGGGTAAACACCCTCTCCTAGTCTTCTACACTTGTATACCTGTCACCAATGTGATTTGTAGCTATATTATACATTCTAAATGCCTATATTCAAATGAACGGCATATAAAAGTGACCATTGTCTAACGGTGTATGGTTTTAGAGTGGTGTGGAGTATATTGCCGCCCCCTCCGGCTCTACTGCTGATGAGGTGGTCATCAATGCCTGCAATGAGCTGGGTATTACCCTGGTGCACACCAACATTCGTCTCTTCCATCACTAAAGAACGCTACACAACATCCAGTTGAATAGAAATAACCAACTATTTTCACTGTTACAAAGGTTTAGGGTTTCTTTCTTTTTAGATGTACATCTTTTACTACAATTCCTAGTTTCTAACCATAATTCATAACTTAGCCCAATAAGTAGTCTGTCCACTCAATAGTTTAAGTATTAGAATGGTTGTTTGTTGTTGCTGCTAAATAGTTTGGAGCATTCTTCATGCATTACTTTAATACTGATACACTAAAAAGATGATCCACTCCTGTTCATTTTATTATAATAATGTGTTTTCTTTGCATAATTTCTGCCATGCTGTCCTTATTTTTTCTGAAACTTTTGCAATATGAACTTGCCTCCATACTCTTCCTGATGCATTCCATTGTGCTGCCTAATGTCTCATGCATTAGAAAATAAAAAAATAAGCATTAAAAAATCAAAAATACTTAAAAAAACAATCGAGTATAATAGTTTCTCAAAGATTCCATCCAAGAGTTTATTTGCATTTATTGACATGTTTCGTTTTTGCAAGGTTTATTTTAGAATCGCATTCCAAAAGATTTTGATTTGAAGTTTTATAAATACATTTTGTCTTGAGTTTTGTGATCTCAAAAAAAGTGCATTTAACAGTAACGAATACTGTTGACAGTATAACACTGACAGTCAAATGCAACAAATAACATTCTATACAAGCAGACACTTCTAAGTGAAGGGATAGTAAAAAAAAATTAACATACGGTATCAATCTAAAAACAGTGCTGACTCTAAATAATCAATGAGCCATGTGGGGGAAAAAAAGATGAAATTTGGTACCCCAGTGGTGCTCTAACATTCTTATAAAACAGTGCTTTTCTCCCCTACTACCGTATGTCTCACATTTTCCTATTTCAATTAATTAAGGTTGAAAATACTAGTAAGGTAGTTTTTTTTTTACCCTATCAATTCATAAGGCTAAAATCCTTTAAAAATAATGTTTTAGTCTTTTGTCAATTTAATTGAATTAGAAATCTGTTCTTTCCCATTGCAGTTTTCGTATACAGTAGACTGTATTAACCGACTGCAAAGTGGAATTTGTATTAACTTGTATTATCCACACTAGCAAACACAAGTAAAAGCCAATCAATGAATGCATCACAACAGACATTGTGTAAAGCAGCAACTGAACAGATGTAACAAACAGGAGGCTTTAAAGGCAGTATGTGTTTAGTTCTCTTATGTCCTACGTGAAATATTGCGTAATGGGGGCAGGAGGTCATGGTGCAGTTCTGTCAGAAAGGTTTCACTCTTTTGGGATTGGCCACAGCATCTGCAAGAAGCTCAGGTCGGAGACATCCGATTGGGCATTGAATGTTCTGGAAGAACAAAGAGGGAAATATGTTATACAATGAAAACCAGAACTATTTACATCTATAAATTGAACCTTGGCAATGCAGTGTTCATTGCACATTTAGCAAATATATAATGGGTACATTCCCAGCTTGAAAAACTAAAATGCAGAAATGGAGGCTCTAGACCCTTCCAGAGCTGAGATATACATGCTACGTGGGATCTCAATATCTCAGCTCTGGAAGGGTCTAGAGCCTCCATTTTTGCACTCAGGTCTAAGTCCCACAGCCCTCTATCAGAATCCAGAGTTTCAAGAAGATCAGAGAAACTCAAAATTTCGACCTGAAAAAAAAAATAAAAAAATGAAATCAGTTGCTCTGATTTTCTTGAAACTCTGGATTCTGATAGAGGGCCATGAGACGTAGACCTGAGTGCAAAAATGGAGGCTCTAGACCCTTCCAGAACTGAGATATTGAGATCTCACATAGCATTTATTCCATTATAAATATCTCAATATCTCAGCTCTGGAAGGGTCTACAGCCTCCATTTTTGCACTCAGGTCTAAGTCCCATCGTCATCTATCAGAATCCAGAGTTTCAAGAAGATTGGAGAAACTTAATTTTTCACCCAAAAAAAAAAAAAACGAAAGGGGTACCACTGTCGTTTTTTTTTTTTTTTGGGGTTGAAATTTTGAGTTGCTCTGATTTTCTTAAAACTCTGGATTCTGATAGAGGGCCATGAGACGTAGACCCGAGCGCAAAAATGTAGGCTCTAGACCCTTCCAGAACTGAGATATTGAGATCACACATATCATTTATGCCATTATAAATATCTCAATATCTCAGCTCTGGAAGATCTCAATATTTTTGCTCTGGAAGGGTCTACAGCCTCCATTTTTGCACTCAGGTCTAAGTCCCATCGCCTTCTATCAGAATCCAGAGTTTCAAGAAGATTGGAGAAACTTATTTTTTCGCCCAAAAAAAAAAAAAAAACGAAAGGGGTACCACTGTCGTTTTTTTTTTTTTGAGGTCGAAATTTTTAGTTGCTCTGATTTTCTTGAAACTCTGGATTCTGATAGAGGGCCTTGAGACGTAGACCCGAGCGCAAAAATGTAGGCTCTAGACCCTTCCAGAACTGAGATATTGAGATCCCACGTAGCATTTAAATGCCATTATAAATATCTCAGCTCTGGAAGATCTCAAGATCTCAGCTCTGGAAGGGGCTAGATCCTCCATTTTTGCACTCAGGTCTAAGTCCCATCGCCCTCTATCAGAATCCAGAGTTTCAAGAAGATTGGAGAAACTTATTTTTTCGCCCAAAAAAAAAAAAAAACGAAAGGGGTACCACTGTCGTTTTTTATTTTTTTTGGGTTGAAATTTTGAGTTGCTCTGATTTTCTTGAAACTCTGGATTCTGATAGAGGGCGATGGGACGTAGACCCGAGCGCAAAAATGTAGGCTCTAGACCCTTCCAGAACTGAGATATTGAGATCACACATATAATTTATGCCATTATAAATATCGCAATATCTCAGCTCTGGAAGATCTCAATATTTTTGCTCTGGAAGGGTCTACAGCCTCCATTTTTGCACTCAGGTCTAAGTCCCATCGCCTTCTATCAGAATCCAGAGTTTCAAGAAGATTGGAGAAACTTATTTTTTCGCCCAAAAAAAAAAAAACGAAAGGGGTACCACTGTCGTTTTTTATTTTTTTGGGGTTGAAATTTTGAGTTGCTCTGATTTTCTTGAAACTCTGGATTCTGATAGAGGGCGATGGGACTTAGACCTGAGTGCAAAAATGGAGGATCTAGCCCCTTCCAGAGCTGAGATATTGAGATCTCACGTAGCATTTATGCCATTATAAATATCTCAAAATCTCAGATCTGGAAGATCTCAATATCTCAGCTCTGTAAGGGTCTAGAGTCTCCATTTTTGCACTCAGGTCTAAGTCCCATGTCCCTCTATCAGAATCCACAGTTTCAAGAAGATTGGAGAAACTAAATTTTTCGCCCAAAAAAAAAACAAAAAACGAAAGGGGTACCACTGTCGTTTTTTTTTTTTTTTGGGTTGAAATTTTGAGTTGCTCTGATTTTCTTGAAACTCTGGATTCTGATAGAGGGCCATGAGACGTAGACCGGAGTGCAAAAATGGAGGCTCTAGACCCTTCCATAACTGAGATATTGAGATCTCACATAGCATTTATTCCATTATAAATATCTCAATATCTCAACTCTGGAAGATCTCAATATTTCAGCTCTGGAAGGGTCTACAGCCTCCATTTTTGCACTCAGGTCTAAGTCCCATCGCCCTCTATCAGAATCCAGAGTTTCAAGAAGATTGGAGAAACTTATTTTTTCGCCCAAAAAAAAAAAAAAAAACGAAAGGGGTACCACTGTCGTTTTTTTTTTTTTTTTGAGGTCGAAATTTTTAGTTGCTCTGATTTTCTTGAAACTCTGGATTCTGATAGAGGGCCTTGAGACGTAGACCCGAGCGCAAAAATGTAGGCTCTAGACCCTTCCAGAACTGAGATATTGAGATCCCACGTAGCATTTAAATGCCATTATAAATATCTCAGCTCTGGAAGATCTCAATATCTCAGCTCTGGAAGGGGCTAGATCCTCCATTTTTGCACTCAGGTCTAAGTCCCATCGCCCTCTATCAGAATCCAGAGTTTCAAGAAGATTGGAGAAACTTATTTTTTCGCCCAAAAAAAAAAAACGAAAGGGGTACCACTGTCGTTTTTTATTTTTTTTGGGTTGAAATTTTGAGTTGCTCTGATTTTCTTGAAACTCTGGATTCTGATAGAGGGCGATGGGACTTAGACCTGAGTGCAAAAATGGAGGATCTAGCCCCTTCCAGAGCTGAGATATTGAGATCTCACGTAGCATTTATGCCATTATAAATATCTCAATATCTCAGCTCTGGAAGATCTCAATATCTCAGCTCTGTAAGGGTCTAGAGTCTCCATTTTTGCACTCAGGTCTAAGTCCCATGTCCCTCTATCAGAATCCACAGTTTCAAGAAGATTGGAGAAACTAAATTTTTCGCCCAAAAAAAAAAAAAAACGAAAGGGGTACCACTGTCATTTTTTTTTTTTTTGGGTTGAAATTTTGAGTTGCTCTGATTTTCTTGAAACTCTGGATTCTGATAGAGGGCCATGAGACGTAGACCGGAGTGCAAAAATGTAGGCTCTACACCCTTTCAGAACTGAGATATTGAGATCTCACGTAGCATTTATGCCATTATAAATATCTCAATATCTCAGCTCTGGAAGATCTCAATATCTCAGCTCTGTAAGGGTCTAGAGCCTCCATTTTTGCACTCAGGTCTAAGTCCCATGGTCATCTATCAGAATCCAGAGTTTCAAGAGGATTGGAGAAACTTATTTTTTCGCCCAAAAAAAAAAAAAAAAACGAAAGGGGTACCACTGTCGTTTTTTTTTTTTGGGGGGGTTGAAATTTTGAGTTGCTCTGATTTTCTTGAAACTCTGGATTCTAAAAGAGGGCCATGAGACGTAGACCTGAATGCAAAAATGTAGGCTCTAGACCCTTCCAGAACTGAGATCTCACGTAGCATTTAAATGCCATTATAAATATCTCAATATCTCAGCTCTGGAAGGGTCTAGAGCCTCCATTTTTGCACTCAGGTCTAATTCCAATGGCCCTCTATCAGAATCCAGAGGTTCAAGAAGATTGGAGAAACTTATTTTTTCGCCCAAAAAAAAAAAACGAAAGGGGTACCACTGTCGTTTTTTATTTTTTTTGGGTTGAAATTTTGAGTTGCTCTGATTTTCTTGAAACTCTGGATTCTGATAGAGGGCCATGAGACGTAGACCTGATTGCAAAAATGGAGGCTCTAGACCCTTCCATAACTGAGATATTGAGATCTCACATAGCATTTATTCCATTATAAATATCTCAATATCTCAGCTCTGGAAGATATCAATATCTCAGCTCTGTAAGGGTCTAGAGCCTCCATTTTTGCACTCAGGTCTAAGTCCCATCGCCCTCTATCAGAATCCAGAGTTTCAAGAAGATTGGAGAAACTTATTTTTTCGCCCAAAAAAAAAAAAAACGAAAGGGGTACCACTGTCGTTTTTTTTTTTTTGGGGGTTGAAATTTTGAGTTGCTCTGATTTTCTTAAAACTCTGGATTCTGATAGAGGGCCATGAGACGTAGAACGGAGTGCAAAAATGTAGGCTCTAGACCCTTCCAGAACTGAGATATTGAGATCACACATATCATTTATGCCATTATAAATATCTCAATATCTCAGCTCTGGAAGATCTCAATATTTCAGCTCTGGAAGGGTCTAGAGCCTCCATTTTTGCACTCAGGTCTACGTCTCATGGCCCTCTATCAGAATCCACAGTTTCAAGAAGATTGGAGAAACTAAATTTTTCGCCCCAAAAAAAAACGAAAGGGATACCACTGTCGTTTTTGTTTTTTTTCGGCTCGA